TTTCTCAGTGGGGTTCGTGTGTCCCAGTGGTGCTCACAGAGAAAGACCAGCAACCAGACCTGGTGATCTGCTTGTGGAGACCCTGTGGGTGACAATGGTCCATCTCATTGTGCACAGGTTAGCAGCCCCCTGGATGACCCCTGACCACAGTGGGAGCTCAGCTAAGCCCGATCATCACTTGGCTTTCACTCTTCACCAGCCGATTGCATCCTGTGGGGTGGACCAGGTTGCTCCTGTCCACATCCGTTTTGAGTGCTGTGCACCCGTCCCCACCTGCTGGGGCACGGCCTGCTGAAGGCACACAGCTGGGACCCACACAGGGAATCCTCACAGCCAAGGGCACAGCCCCGGGGACAGCCTGTGGTTAAGGGCTGGCTCCGTTGGGGGCGTGTCTGCTGTGCATCCTGAGTGGTTCCCGGAAAGAACCAGGATGCACCGCCTGTCTCGCCACCTGGCACTGTTGCTTCCCAGTCCCGCTTCCATCGGCTAAAACCTTTAGGCTGAAGAGGAGAAAGACCAGGGGAATTTGAGAGCCCTTGCCCGTCACAGTCCCAGAGGAGAAAACCATGTTCCCGCACTGTGGTAGTTACATAATCTGTTGTCAGTTTGAGACTTCAGCGTGAAGGGGTGGAGTTTAGTCTGTCAATCAGGTTGCAGCTCGATGAGCTCATTGGGAGGTGCTAAGGAAATAAATAGCTATTAGAGGAGGGAGACACACTCACTCCCTAGGAGACATTACTGAGGACGAGCCTGATAGAGCTAAGCTGATGCAGCCAGAGCCCTGGGAGCTGGAGGAGCCACGTGGAGACCCCTGCCAGTGTTGAAATGCTTCCACTGCCACTGAATCCACAAGATTTCCCACCCACTGACTGTGATCATCCTGCATTCAGCACCATTGCATGTGTTTCACAAGCCTGCAGAGGAATTTATAGATTGCTATTGGACATACGGTATCGGACTTATAGACTTGATCTGGACTGGGCTGCGATGTTTCCTCAATATTCAATTGCTCCTGTACATAAAGCTCTTTCATATACACATATGAGTGTCCATGAATTTGATGCTCTAGTCTATCCAGACTAACACATGCACTGACTCAGTTTACCCAGTGGCTCCCCTGTAGTCCGAATGGTCAGATGGTCCTCGCTCCACAGGGGCTCCTGGACCGACCTTCAGAATCAGCCAGCTGTCTTTGCTTTCAAGAGTCCTCTGGTTGAGCTTGAGCCTGTCTTGTTAGCACCCGAGTGCTCCGTCGGCCGCGCCACTCAGAAAAACGCCCAGTCTGGTCCATAGCTCAACATCGAAACACCAACTCATCACCGCCCAGTGGATTCCGTATCATGACATCCAACCCCGTGGGCCTCAGGGCAGAACTCGGCGCCGTCCGCTCTTGTTGGGCTGATGGTGGAAGTAGACCAGAGGCCTTGCTTGCCCCTCCACCTTGGCAGGGAGCTCCCGGGAGCCTGTTCACCAGCACAGAGGCGCCAGGACAGACAGGTGGGGGCTTCACCCGAGGCACACTGACCGGGAATCCAACCTCCCATGGAGCAGGTCCCCGCTCTGAGACCTCCTGCTGGGGTGCCGGTGCTGTCAAGCTGGGTCCACCTGCCAGTGACCCCGTGCACAATGGATCAGACGCTGTCTGGTTCGACGCCATCCTCACGTGCACTGTGACGTTTGAGCTCATGGCTGCAGCCTCGGTGTCAGCCTGTCTCCTGGAGGGTCTTCCTCAAGCATGACGTCCCCTTGTCCTGGGACTGTGGCTCTTTAAGCCACCGCTTGTCGGTCAGTGTGTCTGACTATGGTGGCTGGTGTGCTGCTGTGAAGCTGTGTCACTGGTATTTCAGAGGCCAGCCGGGCCACCCACAGGGACCACGTGTCAGCGGAGCTTCCAGACTCAGAACAGACCAGGAAGAAGGAATCCGCGCCTCACCTCGGAGGGAGGGAGCGCGCCGAGCGCTGGGACACTGCCCGCCACTGAAGGGCGAGTGCATGGAAGCACAGAGACAGTGGCAAGGATGGCCCAGGACGGGGCAGTGCTTCCTCCTGTCGTGTCGCCACAGGGTGGGACCGACTCGAGGGCACCGAACAGCAACCAGATCCCTAAGGGACCAGAGAGCCTCAGCGTTCTCCCTTGGGACGCGGGCAGAGCTGGTGACCTTGAACTTCTGACCTCGCAAGTTAGCCACCCAGCAACTGTCCCACTACTCCCCTCCAGGGCTCCCCATCATGCACCAGCTCCCACAAATGAAACCCACGTGGAGGGGGCACGGGCCACCTGCTCCTGCCTCCCCTGCAGATGCAGGACACAGCCGGAGCTCCGGCTGCCTGGTGCAGACCGCCCCAGGACCAACCAGCCCTGGGCTCTGGCACTTCCTCTCCCCAAGATCACGCCTTGACGCGGACTGTAAGAAGGGGGGCCTGGTTGGGATGCATCCGGGCAGTGTCAGATGGAAGACGGAGAACTACTAGGCGTGCAGGGGTGGGGCTGGGGGGTTTTGAGCCTGGGAGTCCAGAGAAGCACATGCAGCACCTGTCACTTGGAGACCTGCAATTTGGGGAGGCTGGGCAGGAAAGGGCAGGGCTGTCTATGTGCATTACCTGGGGAGAAAAACATCTCCGGGCCCTTTCTCTGCAGCGGCAGGAGATCACAGCGCCAGACTGCTGAAGCCCCACCCTGAGCACGGCTTCGCTGTGGAGTGATTGCCGCTTAGAGACAAAGGCTCGTGTCTGCCTTCCGAAGGGGCAGGGGGATGGAGCCCCCAGTAATGAAGCTCTCCCCAGACCTAACTATCCTCCTCTCTGCTTTTCTGCCGACTGTTGAGAAGGATTGATCAGCTGTAGATCTTTCTCTCAGTGGAGAGAATTTCCAATCCCATTGACCCCACACTGGGAGTCCTCTCTGATGACAGTAATTAGGAAGAGGCAGGAAGGGGTGGGAGTGGCTAAGATTGAGAAGAATTGGTGATTTTTCGGTGACAGAAAGGGGACTTGGAAGCGTGGCCTGCATGGCTGTGGCGGTAGAGTGTGTGCCAAGGGGGCGGGCGAAAAAGAGGGTAGGTGTGATGAGAAGGTGAGGGGCCGACTCGGGGTGGCCAGTCGTCCAGGGTCCCCCAGACCTTTCTGCCATTTCTGTCTAAGGTCGAAGTGGGGGAGCCGCCTGCTCCACATGGCCGTTGTGTTGCCCGAAACAAAGTAAGGACGCAGGTGTCCTCTCACTGTGATGGGGAGGGAGGTGGCCCAGTGTTCTATGGGAGAGCAGAGCATCGCTGACCCAAAATCCAAAACCCCACGTGGGGGTGGGCTTGCTCGAGAAATTTTAGCAACATTTCACAGGGGGGTACTCTGCAATCTGAGGGTCCAGAAACGGGGCCCTGCTTAGCCCACTCCTCCCCCAAACCTCCCATGTCTGTTATGTTCAGCCTTTCCTCCACTCAGCGGGCTCGTTCATAATCCCTTGTCTGTCTGGAAGGGAAACTCCTGCTGTCCAGTGTTTCCCAGGCCCTTTCTGCTTCAGAGGTCCACCCCCTTCCAGACCTCATCCAAATGTCTCCTGATTGGAAATCTTCCGGGGGCCGAGCCCCTCACTCTGCCTAGTGTGTTTACTGATCCAGAGAGTTCATGTTCACAATTCCGTGAGCACCTCCCCTACTATGTGAACTTGTTGAAGGCATAGCATTTGGCAAGTATGTAATGGAGCTCAGCAACTGTTCAGTAAGAGAGATAGGTAAGTAGATGGATGGGTGGGTGGGTGGATGGATGGATGGATGGATGGATGGATGGATGGATGGATGGATAGGTATGTAGGGAGGGAGGTAGATAGGTAGGGAGAGCAATATGTAGGTAGGTGGGTAGATAGATAGATGCTAGACAGAGATCTAGATAGTAGATATAGATAAAGAGAAAGGTAAGTAGATAGCTGAGTAGGTGGGTGGATGGAGGAGTGGATAGGCAGGTAGGTAGGTAGATGGGTAGGTAGATAGGTGGGTAGGTAGGTAGATGGATAGCTAGATAGATGATAGATAGGCAGAGATGTAGACAGTAGAGATAGGTAAAGAGAAAGGTAAGTAGATAGCTGAGTAGGTGGGTGGATGGAGGAGTGGATAGGCAGGTAGGTAGGCAAGTGGATAGGTAGATAGGTGATAGATAGGCAGAGATGTAGACAGCAGAGACAGGTAGACACCAATCCCTTGGTGACCTTGTGTTCCGAAGAACAAAATACAATCCAGCCCCGTCTCGATCAACTGTGGTGGCCTGGTGGTGTGGTGGTTACACATTGGGCTGCGATCCTCATGGTCGGCAGTTCAAAACCACCAGCATCCCTGAGGGAGAAAGACTGGGCTTTCTACTCCCATACAGTTACCATCTTGGAAACCCACTGGGGTTCCCTATGAGCCAGCACTGACAGTTCTGAATGGGCAACAATGTGACTTGGCGATTATGTAATGATAGAACTTGGCGGTTATCTACTGTGATTGGGCAGTTAGGTGATGATGTGGCCATCCTCCTTTGCGAATCGTTCCTGTTTCCATAACGACCCACCATCGCCGGTGGGTGTAGCATTGCCTTCTGTTTCCCTGTACAGGAGAGTTTAGCCGGAACATCACACTATATGCTGGGGTGGGGCTGGGTGAATCACGTCCTTGGTTTCAAATGACCCCCGTGGGTCATTGAAAAAGGAAGCAGAGCAGTCTTTTGCCGGCTGTCCAGCTCAGATCCGTAGAAGAGGTTCATCACCTGCAAGGAAGAAAGGTGGTGCTGGCCTCTTTCCTGCCCACGCGTTAAAGAATTCTCTAACAGAAGCTGAGGACGAGCCTGGCTCTCTCTTTGCCATGCCACTAGTAGCTTCTGAAAGCAAGGGCCACACCTCCCCGGCTCCCACAGACGCAGCTGCCCGTGGATCGGGAGTGGTAGCTAAGGGTTTCTTTCCCCTCTCTCCTGCCCGCCGTGCCTCCGGCCTTCTGGATTTCCTGCCTTGGATGACGGCTCCCTGGGAACAGTGCCCACAGCGCCCCCACAGCACGTGCAGACGGAAGCGGTCAACTCCACCACAGTCCGGTTCCTGTGGAACCCGCCCCCTCAGCAGTTCATCAACGGCATCAACCAGGGATATAAGGTGCGTGACCCCGATCGGTGGCCACGTAGGCTGATTGTCATGGGCCATGCCATCCATCGTGTGATGCAAAATGGGGACCTAGGAATGCAAGGTGCGTGGTCTGCAGCCTTTTGGGGTGACTACCCTGGGTTGTGTCCTGGATCTTGCGATGCACGTAAGGAGCCAGGGATTCAAGGTACGTGGCCCTGGTCTACAGCCTTGCAGGGGACTGCCATGGTCTGTCTCATGAATCTCTTCATGTAATAGGGATCCAGGGATATAAGATACAGGGCTTTGGCGTATGGTGACCTTGTAGGGTGACAGTCCTGGGCTGTGTCATGGATCTTCTTATGCAAATCAAGAGCCCACTTATTGTAGAGTGGGTTGACTTCCTCAGAGTCACCGTTTATGCCCGGTCTTCTCATAAGCTCCATGGGCGCAGGAACGCTGACAAGTCACCAAGGTGTGGGTCGGTTCATACAGAAGGGGGTGTGCTCAGAGGAGGATCGCACCTTTCCAAATCCCTGGTGGGCTCGGGGACCTAACGTGGTGGGTGGGAGGCAGCATTGGTGCCAACCTGAAGGTCCTGCAAAGGCACCTTCTCCGAAGAGCAGACACAGAGCAAGGGGCCACGTGACAGTTCCTTCAAGCCAGACATGTGTTCCTTCTCCACACCTGATGAAAGAGCTGAGACCGGTTGATGAGGTTGTTGATGTTGGCCAACTCCGATTCCCGGCATCCTCAGATGTGTCATGGGAGGACTTTGCTGCGTGGAATTTTAGAAGAAGATCACCAGACTTTTCTTCCAAGGTGCCTTCGGGGGAGCTTCCACCTCCCCATCTTTCAGTTAGCAGCCCTGTAGGTTCACTGCATCACCCGTGAGCCAGAGACGCAGACAAATTGCCGCCGTCCTCTGTTCTTTGGTAACAGGATGCATTATCTCCACAGATGCCCTTAGAGGAGGCTGGCAGAAGCATACTCTGTCTTACCTTGGAACTCAACAATTTCTTCTTTTTCCGTCCCCGTGTACATTTCTGAGCCCACCTGAATTTTACCCACAGCGTCTTTACACATCTTCCTTAACGGCAGGCAGGTGTCAGGAAGGTCTTTATCAAGATTGAAAGCCATCCGGTTTGCTTGGCCAGGCTGAGGTTTCAGACCCAGAGGGCATCCTATCCTAGCACACGGGCTCATCTTTTTCCCATTTGGATTCAATTGACTAAAACACTTGTCTGTTGGTTGGTTGCTTTTTCACCAGCAGGGCAGAAGACGCGAGAGAGTTGCTGTGCCTGCTCTTGTCCCCTAGAGGTATCTGAGGCCAGAGCCCTTTAAAAAATAAATAAGAAAAGCATATTGATCAGCCAAGATGGTTTTCCCTTCTCGAATCTCCTGTCAACTCCCATCGGTCAGAGTGGGGCCCTCATTGGAGAGCTCCGTGGCTATTTCGATCTATATAAACGTGATTTTGTCCTGCGGCACGCCAGCATTCAGACCCGATAAATCCCAGAGGTGCTCAGTGCCCGAGGACTTTATACACACATGCACACACACAGACACACACACACTCCCCAGAACATTGAAACGAGTTCCCTGGGGATATGTCTCATTGTTCATAGGTGCTGTCGATTCCGATCGTAGCGTCGTCCCGACAAACAACAGAAGGAGACGCTGCCCGGTCCTGCGCCCTCCTCCCGATTGCTCTTATGTCCGAGCTGAGAGCTGCAGCCACTGTGCCCATCGACCCTGTGGGGGGTCTCCCTCTTCGCTCCATCCACTCTACTGAGAGATGATGCCCTTTTCCAAGAAGTGGCTTCTCCTGGCGGCATACCCAAAGTCTGGGAGACGAAGCCTCGCCACCTTGCTTCTAAGGAGCCTCTTCAAACACACATTTGTTTGTGTTTCTGGCAGGCTGGGGTCTTTCAATCTTCTTGGGTCCTCCTTATCCAACGTCACCTTTCACATGCCTTTCAATGACTGAAAATATCATGGCTTGAGTCAGGCACCCCTTAGTCCTCAAAAGGAGATCCTTGCCTTTCAGCACGTTAAAGAGGTTTTGTGTAGCAGATTAACCCACTGCAGTGAGTTAGTCTATCTCTCCCCTGCTGCTCCCGTGAGCAGTGATTGTGGATCCAAGCCAGTTGAAGTCCTTGATAACTTCATTTATTTCTCCATTTATCCTCATGGGACCTACTGGTCCAGTTGATAGGGTCTGGATTTTCTTTGTATTTTGTTGTCGTCCACAACAAAGGCTGCGATTCTGGATCTTCCTATGTCGATCTCTTTAATATCTTAAAAGTGAGAGCCAGTGCCTTCAAAGCTCTTTGAGAACGTAAGTGTGGCTTACAAGATACAGAATTCCAAGTTCCTGTTGGGTCAGAGGCTCCTTTTTGAGCCAGACTCGGGAGGAAAGGAAAATAGATGGATAGATAGATGGTTAGATGATAGATAGATAGATAGATAGATAGATAGATAGATAGATAGATACAGATGATACCATCGTTATTCTTTACAGTGAACGAAGGAACATGTAGGAGGGGGGCTTCAGAAAATCCATGGGAAAATGGAATAAAAAATGATGAGATTTTTCCCCACCAACTTTGGCAAACCCCCCCCCTCCGTGTGTTCAGTCTTGTGTGAAGTGAAGAGAATGGGGAGGGGCGAGGGGCGCCCTTCATCCAAACAGGAGTTAACGTGGGTATTCTATTTATGTACACACATCAAGGAGTCCAGCAATGCTGTGGGCTACACACTGGGCTGCTAACCACAAGGTCAGCAGCTCAAACTCACCTGATGCTCCTTGGGGAATAAAGGGGGAAGCTGTCTGCTCCCAACAAGATTGACAGACTTGGAAACCCCCGGGGCAGTTCAACTCCACCCTGCCAGCTCGCTGGGAGTGGGGAAGGACCCAAGGGCGGTGGGTTTGGTTGTGTTCTTGTCCACCTGCGTCAGACGCATAAAGGTGACACCTCTGTAGGTCGCTGTCAGAGAGGTGTTTCTTCAGCGCCCCCTGGGCAGCGAGTTTGAGCCCGGGACTGCTGGGCCTCCTCAGCTGTGGTTTTGCTGGGACTTGTCCATTTCAAAAGTAAAAGTTCTGAGAGTGTAGAGGGTGGAGAAATGCAACCAATAGGGGGGTGAAGATCAGCCTGGAGCAATGGACTCTTTTAAGATCCGTCTACCCGGGATCTGGTTGGCGGGGGTTGGTGGGGGAAGCTCGAAAGGCTAGGTGGGTTTATGTTCCTGGGGGAGGAGCACCCACAAAGGGAGGGTAAGAAGGGTGTCATGGAACTGTCCCTGTGGCAGCTGTTGAATGCCTTCTGCTGTGTCTCAACAGCAACAAAGGAAACAGACATGGGAAAGAGGGAAGGCAGAATTACTGTACGACACAGCCATCCCCCACCCCCCACCCCCACCCCCGCCCCAGGTAGCCCTATACCGAAGGACTGAAAACAAGCCCGGTGTGTGGACCAACTTGGAGGCTGCCATCCCTGTCACCGAGTGGTACATGTGGAAATTGGTGTCCTGGTGCATGTTCCCTTGCGTAGATTGTCAACTCCAGCCAGAGTGAATTAAATGATTTTAAACGATTGAAAAAGACACATTCAAATGCTCTCCTTTTCACCCTGTTGTGCCCCAGCTCCTAGCCTGGCCGGCAGACGTCCCCGAGGATGTCACCGTTGTCACCATTGCCCCGGATTTCCACGGCATCCACCATGGGTACATCACCAGCCTGAGGAAGTTCACCGCCTACTTCACATGCGTCCTGTGCTTCACCACCCCGGGAGACGGGCCTCCAAGCACACCGCAGCTCATCTGGACTCACGAGGACAGTGAGTGTCCACTCATCCTCTCTCCCCTCGGTGGCCACTGGCCAGGCCAGTCACTGCGGGTGCTGACCCCTGAGACGTCCAGCCTTGGGCCCGACAGACACGGCCCCCTGGGCAGATCCGTGGTCTCAGAGTGCTCGGAGTCCACTTGCTCCGGGGAGGTGGGTCGCTCAGCGATTGGAGACACACCTGGCGGGTGAAACCTGGGACACAGCAGAGGCGGCAGCTCTGAGGATGAGCGCTAGAGATTCCAGTGTCAACTCTGTGACCTGCCTTAGGGCGCCCCCTACCTCCTCCTCCCCCCTTCCTTTCTTTCTTCTTCCCGCTCTTTCCTCCTTCCTTCTTTGCTCCCCTCCCTCCGTCCTGGAAGGAATCACAGTAGAACATCCCCCAGCCCCATGGGAACAATTCGGTGTCGGGGGTGTGCAGCTGTTTGCACCCTCCGTTTCTGAGTCGCTCCTCCCCCAGTAAGATGCCCGCACGGCCCTCGGAGCTTCCATCGAACCTTTCCAGGGGCTTTCATCAATCCGACCCCACCTGGACCAGCTTCACAAGAGCAGGTGCTCGAGGTGGGGCCCTTCATGGCGACCTCCACCCCACTAGCGTTTCCTTTGAAGGCACACATGTTCTCGCTGTGTGTCTTCACCTCCATCTTCCTCCCGCTCCCCACCTTTCTTCACTCCTCCCCTCCTTCCTGAACCTCCCTTCCACCACCGCCTCTGGAGCCCCTGGTCCCCCCCCCTCTGCTTGGCCCTCCCCCCAGGGTCCAGGTAGACAGGAGGCGGACAGGCCGAGGTGCAGTGCCCTGATGGGGCATGTAGGGGCCGCGGCAGACCAGCGAGAGGCAGGAAAGACCTGAGCAGCCAGGGAGGTCCTCGGAGGAAGCGGGGTGGATGGCTGCCGATGGGTGACCTTGTTCTGAGGACAGGGAGACAGTCTAGGCAGAGGGAGCTGTCCCCATGGAGGCAGAGAGCCGTGAGTGCTGAGCACACACGAGGCCCTGAGCATGACCCTGGCCTGGCATACGGAAGGGCAGTCTCTTACCAGGGTTCTCGGTAGAAGCAAAAATAGGGCAGCTTACATATTTGCATAGAGAGAGACTTAAGGAATGATTCCTATGGTGGTGGTGTTTGCCAGGTGCCATCCAGTCTGCCCCAACCTGTAGCCACGGACCCTGTGCATGACAGCAAACACTCCCCGGTCCTGCGCCAGCCTCACCATTTAGGAGTGAGCCCCCTTGTTGCAGCCCCTGTGCCAGTCCAGCTTGTCCAGGGTCGTCCTCTTTTTCACTGTCCCAAGCATGATGTCTTTTCCTTCTCTCTCCTGATCACATGTCCGGTGTAAGTGAGATGACGTCTTGCTTCTAACTAACTGGCTTCTGGCTGCATTTCCCCCAGATTGATTTGCATGTCCTTTTGGCGTCTGTGGTACGTTCCACGTTCTTCAGCAGCACGTCATTCAAGTGCATTGACTCTTCATCGATCTTCCTCATTCAGTGACCAACTTTCACACACATACGAGGCAACTGAAAACACCATGGCTTGGGCCAGGGGCACCTGAACCCTCAAAGCAACAGCCACTTCAAGGAGATCTTTACATGCTGCCAGTTTAGTTGCAGAGGCGGGGAAGTCAGATGCCAGGCTGGAGGCTTCTCCTCACTCACGTAGGCGCAGGGGCTGAGGGACCCAAGACCAGCACCTCAGACAGCAGGCTGAAGAGCCCCTGGCTCACACCCAGTGGTCAGATGAAGATGAGCTGGATACAGGATTCAGAGTGGGCACAAAGCCATAGAATTTTGCCAGAACTTACCTATCTATGGGAAACAAGCTGCGCTCCAGAGAAAATTTCTTTTCAACAGATTGGCTGGTCATCGCAGATCCCATCACAGAGATGATTACATTGTATCAGATCCCATCACAGAGGTGATTACATGTATCAGATCTCATCACAGAGGTGATTACATTGTATCAGATCTCATCCTAGAGGCCATTACATTGTATCGGATCAAGGAACTCATCACATTATATTAGCTCTCACCACAGAATTGATTATGGGTATTGAATCTCTCACAGAGATAATTACATTGTAGCAGTTATTGTCTCAGAGCTGGTTCTGTTGCAGCAGATCTCATCATAGAGGTGTCAATATTATATTACCTTTCATCACGGAGGCAATTACAGTATATCAGATCTCACCCTGGAATTGATCGCCTTATATCAAATCTTACTGTGAGGGTGATTACAGTGTCAGAGCTCATCATGGAAGTGATTACGTTCTGTCAAGGAACTGGTTCCATTGTATTGAGTGTCATCATGAAGGTAATTACATTGTATTGGTTCTCATCTTGGAGCTGATTAACTAATATCAGCTCTCATCATGGGGGTGATGACATCATATCCAATCTCACCATGGAATTGATCACCTGGTATTGAATCTCATTGTGGAAGTGGTTACATGGTGTCAGATCACATCATAGACCATTCATTGTCCTGGGCCAGATCACAGAACGAGAGGTCGTGACCTCATGTCATAACTGCCAAAGCACTCACCCTGCCAAGTTGACACAGAATTTCAAGAGACACGCTTCTCTTCTTGACAGTGAGGTTGAAGTGGGCTCTGGAGCCCTGGGCTGGGGGCTGCTTCTAGACTGCGCGGTGCTGCAGCTAATGCTGCACCCCGCAGCTCTCTTTTGTCCAGAGTTCCATTGAAATGAGAACCCGCCTGGTCAGGGTTGGGCGGTAGGAAAACGGAGCGGAAGCAGAATATCAATTTTAATCCTGGCGTTGCCGGCTGGCCGTCGGGCAGGGGTCCAGGAGGCAGAGACGCCGAGAACATAAAAGGAGCAAGAAGCTTTCTTTGCTACTTCATCGATCGGCAGAGAATGAGGTGGCTCAGAAATCCGTCAGAATATCTTTCTGGAAGCTCAGAACGCCAGGATGGGAGGAGTGGAGGAGAGGCCCCTGACAGCTGCTCCCTCTCCCTGTTGGTCAGCACACTTGAGCCCGTCTGTAAAAAGGCTTTTGAACGTTTCGCCCGAATGGGCTACACTTTCCGAGACCGCGACCGTTTTCGCTAAATGACACGCTGTGTTTGGAGGCTAGGTACCAATCCAGGAAGGGGGCGGCACATCCACCTTGAACAGCTGGGTGTCCC